CCCCAAAACCCCAAAACCCCAAAACCCCAAAACCCCAAGCTTGCTAACCTGTTTTGAAAAATAAAATATAATTACCCTTTCCATAAAACAATGATGAAGAACGAAGAATCAGATGAAGCAAATATCCTCGAGATGGAAGAAGAATTCTCAGATGCTCCATCTTCGAGGAGGATTAGTTCCAGTATTCATAACTTTTCAGAGATAATTTCAGGAAGTAACTCAGTACAATATGGGGATAGATTTAGTCAAAATTATAAGCCTAAAAGGAGAATAATTACCAATATCGAGACCAATAACAATGAAGAGGCTTTCCAGGACCAGAACAGCCAAGGCAAGAAGAGCAAAGTTAGTCTGTACAAGCTGGAGAAGAAGGAAGAGAGTGGTAAGTTCCCATTTTCCTCTGTGCCTAAGGTGTCAGATTGTCTCTGACAGTTTTGTATCAGAGCAGGATAAATAGCCAGAAACTTTGTTATTTCGGATCAAATACTACCCTGACTCATTCTAGTTAGTCTCCTTCGTGATTGAATTCTGAAATCTCACCTGAAACTTTAGAGCTGCAAGACTTACAGATGGAAGAAAGCGAGGATTGGTTCTTAGAAGGAAATTTCCGTTATGAAAGTCCAGAGAAGAACACAGATTATCAGGAAGGAGAGTCTTACGAAGCTCGACCTTCATCCCAGCGGGATGAAAGCGGAAGGCTTGATAGAGTCACTGTTGGTAATGATCATATTCCTGAAGTCCACACAAGTGAGGAAGAGAATTCCATTATGAACTCCCAAGCTATCAGGGAGACCAACGAGGAGATCAAAGAAGCTTTCCAACATATAGAATACGAATATGTCGATCAGTCTATTCGGCAACGCAAATGGATCAATCGTTCAATCATGGAAAAGAGAGACCAAGACAGGATGGAAGACTACCGACGAAAACAAGCTCATAATTCTTTGAAAAGAGAGTTCAAGGAAATGCAAGAGGTGAGAAGTCATAATAAGGTTCATACGAATAAGAAATCAAGAGAATTGGCTAAGAAGGCTCTTAAGAAGAAAATCAAGGGTGTTATTGACCAGTACTCTCAAAATGGGTACATGGCATTTGAGCATTACCTTCATGTGCTTTACATACTTCAAATTACACAGAGTATGGGGAAACTTGATATGGATTCTCCAAAAACATCAGTCTTGAAAAGAGTTAAAGAGGAAAAGGAGCAGAATGAGTTGAACTTTGCATTACAATTATGGAATAAGATCAACTGCTACCTCTTCAATTATGTGGACTGAAGAATTCTCATCGATTTCTTAATGATTCTGTTATCAAATTCAAAATCAAAAATTGCTGTAGCTGAGAATTACATCAACGAAATCTCTCAAGCTGATGATCTTCCAGCAGAAGAGATTGCTAAGAATAGAGAGCGCAACTCTGATCTAGTTGTTGATGAACTTTGGACAGTTGAGGAGCTCTTCATGTTTTATAAATACAAGCTTAATTGTGTATCCATCGTTACTAGGACTGGCTTCAGTGTTGATCGAGGAATGAAGAAGGACAAAATTATATCTGAGCACTACAAAGAATGAACATTCAGGCCAAAAATTACAAAGAAAGCACATGAAGTTGCTGAAAAATAAGCTGACGATGCAGAAGTTAGATCTTCATTTAAAAGTGTTTGACGCTGAATGCCACACTTTAGACTCACTCTTAGTGAGTGATAAACAAAGTATGAAGGATAATTCAACAGCTAAGAACAAGGTTAAGCGTATTTCAAGGTACAGCAGAGGAAACCCAAAAATTCGTACTGGAAAAAGTAGGTTATTCTGCTAATCCCTAGATATATCAACCTCAAGTTCTCGCCATGAATTGCTGTATAAAGATGCTGAAGAGATCAATCACAGGCTCTCTTTGGAACGAAATAAGAAGGAAGAGGAAGAAATGAAGGCATGCACATTCCATCCTAAAATCTCAGAGTTCAGGAACTCGAGAGCCCACTTCCGCCCTCATAGCAATGATGTTCAGAGGAAGTACTTGCTCTCGTCTCTGGAAAGATTAATTCCAAGTAAAGATCAGCTAGAGTTGAAGAATAAAGTGTCTGAAGCACACAAAAGAAAAATTGAGCAAGAAGAACTAGAGAAGTGTACCTTCAAGCCTGAGTTTGTGCAAGGAATTGTAGACTGGCAGAACAAAGTCCAAAACCTCCCAGGGATTGACAACCATGTTCGAAGGATGAAGGAATCTCAAGATGAGGTCAAGAGAAAATAAGACTTTCTTTGACGACCTCGGAGCTAAATATAAAGGTAAATAAAACCAAATTTGAGCCATTCGATTTGACAAAGAGTAAGGAAAAGGATGTTTGTCTACCTAACTCTGGAGCCAATGTCAGTCCTCCCCTGTTGTTCCATAAGAAAGCCAAGTTCAGAGCAGGTAAACTTGGGTACCAAGAAGTCAGCTCAGGTAGTGATTTGAGTAAGAGAGTGTCAACGCACTCTTCGTTAAGAAATGAAACTATGAATGACAGCAAGGAGAACGAAAAATTTGCCAAGTTAAGGATACATTATAAGAACAATAAATATGCTGAGATCAAGGTCTTTGAGAACACTGATCCAGATCACTTGACAGAAAGCTTCTGTAATAAATACAGGCTCGGAAATAAGATGAGACAGCAATTGAAAAGTATAATTATTAGAAGGCTTGAAACATTAAGGCCACAAAGTGTTCTCCCTTCTGAACATATTGAGGAGGAAAAAGAGTCATATAGTGATAATTCAAAACATGACCATCCCTCTGGGAATCCCAACCGAGCCAAGGCTATACGTGAGGTGTGTTTGGAAGAGAACACGCCTACCAACACCTCAGGCTACTTTAACGAAGCAGATAATGATCAGACTTCCTCTGCTCTGCCGCTTCCAGAGCTTAACATATCAACCAAGGACTAGAGTTGGTCTGGTCCCTGTTCAAAGGCCTAAATTTCCTTAACGGATTTACATAATTTCAATAGTTGATCAAAAATACGGGGTTTTGGGGTTTTGGGGTTTTGGGGTTTTGGGGTTTTGGGGTTTTGGG